GGACTGAAAGGAACGACTCATTCACACGTTGGGCAGCCTCCTGCCCCACTTGTGCCTGTGGGGATGGGGTCACCGGCCCCAATGCTAAGCAGGGAGCCCTCTACAGCCAGGCATCACAGAGGTGGGGGAGCGGGTCCATGGCACCCTGCCTGGCTGTGGGGCTGGAGACATCCCCACAGGTGCAAGTGGCTAGGGAGGCTGCCCAGAGCTGAGACCTCCAGTCTGTGCTGCAACAGGATGGGTGAGTGCCACTCTGTGGAGTAGTCCACCCCACTGCTCAATGGCTTTTGCCCATGGATGGAGCCCTGCAATTATGGGGTGGCCTCCCCTGTGGCCAGGGGCTTCTCATCCTCCTCTCTATCTCTTTCATAACTGTGCATCTCTGCTGGATTCTCAGAGCAGCTTGCACTCTGCCCCTTGCATCCCCCAGTTCTTGGACCTCCCCTGATCTTACAGGGGTCCCATTGTTCACTGCTGGGAGCCCCTGTTGGGAACCCCCTGTCACCACTGTTGTATGCCTGGTCCCAACCCTGATATTCCCTTTCCTTGCTCAGTTTCCCTCACTTGTAACAATTGGGAAAAGCTTCAACATAAATAATAATGATCCACATTGGGAGAACCCCGCACCTCATGTTCTGCCAGGCCTGCTCCAAGCCAGTGCCTGCTCCCCGAACACTGAGCACGACAGCTAGTGTCAGCGCCGCCGTTCCCACCTCATCTCACTAACCTTCTCCTGGCCCCAGCGAGGTCACCGCCGGTGAGAAACGCACCCGGTACGCTGGGCGGGGAAGCGAGGCGGCTGGAGGTGATGGCCTCCTGAGGTCTCTTCCAACCCTACAATTCTATGACTCTATGAAGGCTCCTCCAGCCCTTAGAAACTCGCCTCGGACTTTGGAGATGTTGGTTCATTTCCCTCCTTCGTCACCAACTCCGTGTGACGTTCAGGCTGGGTTACGTTCAGCACCTGTGAGCGGCGAGGGGCAGCCACAGATATCTAATCTTACGAGACGTGAGTCTGTGGGCAGGCGCCAAAAATGCATCTCAAAATCCATTCCACTGTGTGTTGGGGCCCCCAATGGGAAGCAGGGAATACACCTCCTAGGAAGTAGGATGATGCCAACTTTCAGGGCTCTGAAGTCGTCAGCTCCTGCGTTGAGCGGGGGACAGATTCGGAGCTAGGCTAGCAGTGACTGGAAAGGTTTTTCTTTTTTCCCCCCGATTCCAGAGATCCCTGCCAAATTCCTCTTGTATACCCATGGTATTAACTACAGGACAAAGTGAAGTCACTTCAAAACCAAGGGAGGGAAGGTTATTTTACCTCTCTGGTGGATCTGATGTCTTCTCCTCATGAAGGAGTCAGGGACCAGCACATGGGTTAATCAGTCCAGCTTTTCACCCCCACCATATTCATCTGCTTTGATGTTCCCAGGACGTGACACATCACAAGGCAGAACAGCGATTGCGTCTGTCCCCATGTCTGGTTACCTGCCCTCAGACACTGCCAAATGGGGAGAGTCTTTTCTTGATCACTATATATCCTTCCAAGGGACGGGGCAGTCTCCTGAGGCACATCTGCATGGAGAACCTAACGAGCAAGGAAACGTTAGTCTCAAATTCATACTTAGACAATACCGGCAGTGTCAAACTTCCAATCTCCAAAGGATTGTGAGGGCGGGAAAAAGCATTTCATCCTCCAGCAAATCGAATGCTACTGGGATTGTGAAGACATAGGAATACATTTTATGGCTGAGATTTTCTGCCATAAGTGATTTAGACATCAGGATCTCTGTAGACAACTTTGAAAGTGTCACCCTGGGTGGTGGGGTTCATCACGTACAGGTTAAGCTGTTGGTTGGGTGATGACCAAGTCCATGGAATTGGTTTATTTTAGCATTATGGGGAGGGACACCCCAAAATATTCCTGCCCAGGACCCTTGGGAGGCCAGGACTAACTCCACTACTTTTCTAAACCAACTTCCTGTGGCCCTCTCTATCAAACACATGTGGTGGCCAGTCCCCCTCTAAGGAGCTTGGCTAATCAGCTCAGGTAGCAGGAAACCCACATCTCCAAATTGCTTTGCTACCTGTCATTTGATTGTGCCTCGCATCACACCATCTGATGGACATCGGTTTCGGCAGTCCTCAAGTTGGACTTTGGCTCTGTCCCTCATAGGGAAAGTACCAAGGAAGAGGGGTTGGAGGCCAGGAAAATGAAAAGGGGAGATTCCCTGGGACCAGAAGAGGAACTCGCGTATTGGAGGGCAGGAGAAGGAAATGGGGAGAAATGACCGAACTGTAAAATCCCTAGATAGGGACACAAAGGGTGTGTCTAGACTACAGGGTTTTGTCGACAAAAGTGGACTTTTGTTGACAAAACTATACCTGCGTCTACACTGCTGCTAAGTTCTGTCGACATAACGTCGACAAAACTCAGCAGTTTTGTCGACGTATGTAAACCTCATTCTACGAGGAATAACACCTTTTGTCGACAGAGTTCTGTCGAGAGAAGGCGTTATTGCATCTACACTGTCCTTTGTGTCTACACTCTCATGTCGATAAAGTGGCTTGCTTTGTCGACAAAACTGGATGTAGTCTAGACGCTCTTTGTCAACAGAAGCTTTGACGACAGTATCTGTCGACAAAACTTCTGTCGACAAAAGCCTGTAGTCTACACGTACCCAAAGAGAGAGGACACCAACCCACTTAGACTAGCAGAGTGGCTCAGAAAAGGGCAGGAATTTAGCAAGAGAAAATTCCCACTGGCATCACACAGGGTGCAATATGGATAGCCAGGTCCCGGCAGTTTTCCAACCCAAGGGGTCTCTTCCACTGCGTTGCTGTGAGAACCACCACAGAGGTTATCCTCCCTCCAACCTCATTGTTTGTTTGTTTCCCCACCCTGGCTTTAGCCCATCATTTCAGGATGTCAGAAATTCAGCCACCAGCCGGGGCCCTGATTCAGGATTGGGTGGATGAGATTCTGTGGACGGTGGTGCAGGGGGTAACACATGGGTAGAGGAGGATCACAGCTGAATCTCTGTCATTAAACAATCATGCAGGAAACTGAATGTAAAGTAAATTTCAACTAGTTTATATGATTCAAGCTGAGATTTTCCCCAGACACCCCACTCAAAACACACTGTTAAGACAAAGCATGTTTATTAACTACAGAAAGAGACATACAAAGTGATGTTAAATTATAGCAACCAGAGCAAAGCAGATTATCTAGCAAATAAATAAAAATGAAAACTAAATCTAATGTTCTAGATGGCTAGGATTGGAATTAGCGATTCCTCATTCTGATTGATGACATTATCAGTCCACCAACTTTCCCTCCGCAGACTAGAAATCTCTTGAGCCTGGGGCCAAAATTTACCCCAGTTCAGTCTTTGTTCCTTGGATGTTTCCTGGGTGTCTTGTGTGGGGAGTGAGACTGAGAGAGGATGTCATATCCCAACTCATATAGTCTCAGAGTGGGACCTGTGTTAATTTGTAAAGTAAAAAACTTTAAAAAAGAACTATGGTCTTGTAGCACCTTGGAGACTAACCCCAAAAATATACCAATAGAATCATAAGCTTTTGTAAGTGCAACTCTCTTCTTCAGATGACAAATATGGAGCAAGAGGCACAGAGGTTGAACTATAAAGCAGAAAAAGAGGAGAAAGAGGGAAAGAAAAAACCCATCAATTAAAGTATCCTTGCTAAATGAGGCTAATAGAGTGGGCTGTAGGGCCTGATACTCAGCTTTTGATGTCTTTTCACTGTTGACTATAACGGCCCATCCAGTTCCTGTCTTTGTGGAGCCAGGAGAGATAATGTCAGATTTGCATATGAAAGGCCAGTTCCACCGACTCTCTCTCTGGTTGGTTCCTGATATTACTGAGTAGGAGAAGTGCCACTTTGAGATCCACCAGTGAGCGCCCGGGCAAGTTGAAATATTCCCAACAGGTTTGTGTGTATTATCATTTTGAATATTTGATTTGGGTCCATTGATCTTTTCTCAGAGAGACTCTCCAATTTGGCTAATATCCATGGCTGAAGGGCATGGCTGGTACTGGTCTGGTTGGTTCCTGATATTACTGAGTAGGAGAAGTGCCACTTTGAGATCCACCAGTGAGCGCCCGGGCAAGTTGAAATATTCCCAACAGGTTTGTGTGTATTATCATTTTGAATATTTGATTTGGGTCCATTGATCTTTTCTCAGAGAGACTCTCCAATTTGGCTAATATCCATGGCTGAAGGGCATGGCTGGTACTGGGTAGCATGTATATTACTCACACCCGTCTGTGGCGGACCCGCCCACACTCACGGGTCCCAGCCCAGGGCTGTAAGGACAGGCAAGGTTAGGCTTCTGTCCGGCTGGTGGGGCATCTTACCATAACACACCAGCCCGTGGGCCAACAGAAAAGCCCCGCCTTGGGCTACTTCCTACCTTCACTGCTATTCGAGGGAGATCATTACACCTCCCCCTCCCCAGTTGCGTCCTTCACCAGTACAGCCAGCGTGCTGCTGGCTGGCACCTTCCTCCCTAGTCCCCCCTTTCTCTCTCTCTCTCTCTCTCTCTTTCCTTTGTTCCGACCCTTTCCGTCTCTCCTGCGGCCTCCCTCTCCCCTTGCGACTGTCCTCTTTTGTATCTCGCACCCTGCCTTCTGTACCTGCCCCTCCCCATGATGCACATCTTGTGACTTCCCAAGGCCCCCGCGTCCTTTCCCTTACATCACTCCCAGTCCATTCTGGGCGTAGCCGAGAGACCCTCTCCCAGCTGCGGTGTCATGCAGCTGTGCCGTGGCATGTGAGCATGCCGCACAAGTGGCTGGCCAGGCTCCATGCTCCCCATGTAGTACGGAGATCAGGGCATGCTGAGAGTGGGGCGAGTCTGCCTCAGTACAGACACCAAAAGCTGAGTATCGGGCACTTACAGCTGACTGTATTAGCCTCATTTAGCATGGGTGCTTTAATTGTCAGAGCTCCTTTCTGCTATAGGACTCTTGGTTTTTTTAAGTTTTTCTCACCTTATGTAGATCCCTATTACCACCTCCCATTGCAGTGTAGTTACATACCCAGTGTCCAGCTATGGATTATTCATTCTGGCTGCTGCACCCCACTCAACCCCTTTTGACTTGAGACATCAGCATAGATTACCCTCTTTCTATTTTAATCCAAGTACCAGGTTACTTGGATTGTGGGTGTCCTTCTCAATGCCAGGAATGCAAATAGATACTTAAATGAGGACTCACGAGTGTTGGGGATGGCGGTTCTCCACACAACTTTTGCACCATATTCACTCTTGTGATCAGTGCTGAGACTTCGGGTGCATCTACACAACAGCACAATTTTGGAATAATGATTGAAATAATGGGTGGCTTCTTCCGACTTCTGTAAACCTCATTCCACAAGGAAGAACTCCTCTTCCAAAATAGCTATTTCGAAATAGCTGCAGTGTGGATGATCCATTGTTGCTATTTCAAAATCGCTCCCCATCAGGATCATTCTAAGTTATTTTTCCCCAGTGCTTCCTGGGGCTCTAAATCAAAATAGCACATTTATATTAGGGAAGACTGACTCGGACTAATTTTGATGCTTCCCTATAGGGTGGGTACGTTATTTCAAAATAAGCCATTTTGGAGTATATCTTCCAGAATATCTTATTCCGAGATAAGCATGCTGTGTAGATGAACCCTTTCTTATGGACATCCGACTACAATGACCCCTAGAGCCCACTTAGTTTACCAATATCGAAGTTGCTAGGAAATCCTCAAGCTTTAAGGAGCAGAGACATAATGATTGATTTGCCTCCACGGCGAGTCTGTTGGCAACTGAAGTCCCTGAACCATCTCCGCACACGATATTTCAGGGCCCAGAATGGAGGTTACCAACTCCTTCTTCCCTCCTCCCACATTCACTTTCCTGCATATTCCCCACAAATGGTCCATCACATCCCAGAACTACCACAAGATTCTGCGCCTTGCAATCCATGGACCATGAGCCTTATGTCCATTTGAAACAAAAAATATGTTTTCTGATTCATTGTATTCCCTTGGATAGGAAAGGGAAATCTTCAGGTAGTCCACAGCTACCCACTGTTGAAAACTCTATTGATTCCAAAAAACAAGGATAACAGAGGTTTAGAAATCTACCATGACTGTGACTCTGGAAGAGAATGACATGGAACCAAACTAATCTAATGGACGCAGGCACTTGGACTTCTGGACACTTTGGTTCAGGCCCAATCCCAGCTCATGTATTATCTCTTTTATTTTAACCTTATGCAAAGGACCACTTGGCATCATCCAAACATGAATTTCTTCCTAACTTTCCTCAGGGCATCCTTGACCTCTTTGTTTCTCAGGCTGTAGATGAGGGGATTGACAAGAGGAGTCAGGACCGTGTAGATGATAGAGACAACTTTCTGGAAGTCTCCCAGGAGGTCAGTGGTTGGGAACATGTAGACAATGAGCAGCGTTCCATAGTAAATGGTCACCACGATGAGGTGGGAGGAGCAGGTAGAGAAGGCCTTTTGCCGGCCCCTGGTGGAAGGGATCCTCAGGATGGTGGCGATGATGCAGATGTAGGACGTCACAGTGAGCAGGAACGGGACCAGTGAGAAAATCAAGATGAATATGAAAACCAGAGTTTCCATCATCTGAGAGTCATTGCAGGAAAGACGTATCAGAGGGTCAAGATCACAGAGGAAATGGTCAATAGTATTGGGGCCACAGAAAGTTAACAGGGATAAAGAAAATGTTGCTATGCCATTACCTAGGAAGCCCCCTATCCACGAGCCACCTGCCAGCCGCAGCCAGTCCCTGCCCCTCATGAGGGCTGTGTAACGCAGTGGGTGGCATATCGCGAGATACCGGTCATAAGACATCACCGATAAGAGAAAGCATTCAGTGCCGACCAGTGAACCAAAGAAATAATATTGGGTGAGGCACCCACTGAAGGAAATTGATTGGACCCCGGTCAGGAGCCCGGCCAGCATCTTGGGCAGGATGATGGAGCTGTAGCAGGTCTCCAGGCAGGACAAGTTGCCCAGGAAGAAGTACATGGGGGTGTGGAGGTTGTGATCCGCCACCACTAGTGCCAAAATGAGGAGGTTCCCAGCCACAGTTACAATGTAGGTCACTAGAAAGAGCAGGAAGAGAAAAAATTGCAGTTCTGGAAGAGTCTGGAATCCTAGTAGGATGAACTCTGTGATGGATGTTTTGTTTCCATGTGCTCGGTTTGCCATGGGGTAGGTCTTTGGGAAAACAATGAACTCTCAGATGTAAATGACCATTCAACAAAGAAACGTTAACTTTTTTTCATCGTCTCCTCTTCTGGCTACCAGCACGACCTCTGAGCAGGCGGTGGTGTGCAGGGAAGAGGAAATGTTGTCTCTGGATCCCTGGAACAGATTCTGTAGCAGAGTGGACTGAACATTAAAGCAACACACCCATCTCTCTGGAAACGTGCATGGCACCTTGACAGATGGCACCTATAGAAATAGGGATTCAGATAAAACAGTAAAGAAACACAAACAGAGGAAACTGCACAACAAATTTATTGGTTCTAGCTCTTACCGATTAGAAGGCGTTCTTTGGACAAACCGTATCACTTTATTTCATAATAATGGTGAACTGGAGGACTTCTTACTCCAATCCCTATAAGCCTCATTTCACTAGGGGTATGTCTAGTCTTCACACCTTTTCCGACAGAGGCTTTGTCAACAGATACTGTCAACAAAGCCTCTGTCAAAAAAGAGCATCTAGACTACAGCCAGTCCTGTCGACAAAGCAAGCCGTTTTCTCAAAAGAGTCTAGATGCTCTCTTTTGAAAAGCACAGTTTGCATGCAATAGCACCTTTTTTCAACAGAGTACTATCGAAAAAAAGAGTTATTCCTTGTAGAATGAGGTTTACTGCTGTCGATAAAACTGCCACGTTCTGTCAACTTTCTGTTGACAGAATGCGGCAGTAGTGTAGACGCAGGTATAGTTTTGACGACAAATGTCCACTTTTGTCGAGAAAACTCTGTAGTTTAGATACACCCTAGGAGTAAGGGAAGTCCAAGGAAGAGAGTTTTTCCTTCAACTCCCTGCTGTGTGTACTCAGCTACGCAATTTATGTAGCTGAAGTTGCGTAGCTGAATTTGAGTTTTCTCCTGCTGTGAAGAAGTGCCCCATGACTTCTCTGAGGGGGTCAACAAACATGTGGACAAGGGGGATCCAGTGAATATAGTGTATGTAGATTTTCAGAAAACCTTTGAGAAGGTCCCTCACCAAAGGCTCTTCGGCAAAGGAAGCTTCCATGGGGTAAGAGGAAAGGTCCTTTCATGGATTGGTAACTGGTTAAAAGACAAGAAACAAAGGGTAGGAATAAATGGTCAGTTTTCAGAGTGGAGAGAAGCAACTAGTGGTGTCCCAGAGGGGTCTGTCCTGGAACCCATCCTATTTAACCTATTTATAAATCATCTGGAGAAAGGGGTAAAGATTGAGATGGCTTTTTAGATTGGAAAAGAGCTGACTATAGGGGGATATGATTGAAGCCTATAAAATCATGACTGGGGTGGAGATAGTGGGTAAGGAACCTTCCCATAACACAAGAACTAGGGGTCATCAAATGAAATTAATAGGAAATGGGTTTAAAAGCAAGAAAAGGAAGCATTTCTTCATACAACGCACAGTCAACCTGGGCAACTCCTTGCCAGAGGGTTTTGTGAAGGCCACGGCTATCAGTGGAACCCAAAAAACGAAGAAACAGTCTAGAAGCAGTTTAGAGACTAACAAGACATAGAGATGGGATCCTGAGCTTTCATTGGTGCAATCCACTTCTTCAGATGACTGGAGTATTAGAAATCCACATTCAAGAATAAATAAGGGAAGGGGGGAAGGAAAAAAGAGACAAAAAAGAAGGGGAGAAAAAAAGAGACAGCGAGTAGATGGTTCAAGTAGTTACAAGAGGCTGATAAGAAGAATTATCACCTCCATTGGTTGGTTAGTTGGTTAAGTCATTAGGATGTGGTAGGTAGTATGCGAGCCAGCCGATGAAAACAACAGAATCTCACTTGTCATCACCGACAGACCACAACTCAACCCCTCCAAGGCATTATCCACAATCTACAACCTGTCCTGGAACATGACCCCTCACTCTCACAGGCCTGGGGGGAAAGGCCAGTCCTCGCCTACAGACAACCCCCCAAACCTCAAAACAATTCTTTCCAGTACCCATGCAACACACCTCCATAATAATCATCCAGGAACCCAGCCCTGCAAGCAGCCCCAGTTCCAACTCTGTCCATACATCTCCACCAGCGATTTCAGCACGGGATGATGAACAACATCAGCTACTACATCAGGGGCTCATTGAACTGCACATCCACTAATGGGATCTAGGCCATCAAATGCCAGCAATACCCCTCTGCCATGGATATTGGTCAAACTGGACAGTCTCTACAGGAAAGAACTAATGGACACAATCAGATGTCCAAAAAGACAACACACAGAAACCTGTTGGAGAACACTTTAACCTGCCCAGGCACTCATTAATGGGTCTCCAAGTCACCATGTTCTTTCAGCCAATTGCACAAGCAAAATACACAGGGAAGGGTTGGAATTTAACTTCATGTACAAATTTAATTCTTATGCAAATGGTATGAACACGGACATCGGCTGGCTCACACACTATCTTACACATCCTAATGACTTAACCAACCAACCAACCAACCAATGGAGGTGCCAATTGTTCTTATCAGCCTCTTGTAACTACTTGAACAATCTATTCATTGATTTTTTTCCTCTCCCCTCCCGCCCTTATTTATTCTTAGAGCTGGACTTCTAATACTCGAGTCCTCTGAAGAAGTGGGTTGCACCCAGAATAGCTCATGATGCCATTTACATGTTTGGTTAGTCTTTAAGGTGCTACTAGACTATTTGTTGGTTTTTTAAAGTTTTTCCTGTTGCAGAATAGCCCATCTCCCCTCTGAAGCAGTGGAACCAAAACAAACTCAAGTAACTTCATGGAGGTTGGGACCATCAACAGCTATTAGCCACGATGGGCAGGGAGGGTCCCTGGCCTCTGCTTGTCAGAGGCTTGGAAAAGGTGACAGGAGAGGGATCACTGGATGGTTACCTGGTGTGTTCCCTCCCTCTTGGACACCTGGCACTGGCCACTGTGGGCAGACAGGACACTGGGCTGGATGGACCTTTGGTCTGACCCAGTCTAGCTGTTCTGTTTTTTATCTTCATATTCAGTTAAAACATGAGTTCTGTCTCTCTCTCTTAGATTACAACGGTCACATCTGCCCATGATGAGTCACCATTACAAGTATTTAGAGCGATCATAGAATCATAGAATACTGGGACGGGAAGGGACCTTGAGAGGTCATCGAGTCCAGTCCCCAGAGATTGCGTACTGTCCCCACCTCATTCTCCTGGCCCCAGCAAGGTCACTGCCGGCGAGAAACGCACCTGGGACACTGCGAGGGGAAGCGAGGGGGCTGAAAGTGATGATCTCCTGAGGTCTCTTCCAACCCCATGATTCTATGACTCTGTGAAGGCTTCTCCAGCCGTTAGAAACTTACCTCGGACTTTGGAGATGTCGATTCATTTCCCTCCTTTGTCACCAACTCCCTATCTGATGTCCAGGCTGGATTATGCAGGTGTATAACACCTGTGCATGGCGAGGGGCAGTGTGGGCAGCCACGGCTGTCAATCCTCATGAGGCATGGGTCTGTGGGCAGGCACCAAAATACCTCTAAAAATCCTCTAAAAATCCACTGTGTGTCAGGGCACCATCTGGGAAGGAGGGAAAATATCTCCCCGCGAGTGGGATGAAACCGACTTTCAGGGCTGTGAAGTCATCAGGTCCCGCGGTGATAGGGGGACAGTTTCGGAGCTAGGCTAGAAGTGCCTGGAAAGGTTTTTTTCTTTTTCCCCCCGAATTCCGGCAGTTGCTGTGGGCTTGGAGTTTGAGAGAGATTCCTGCCAAATTCCCCTCAAATACCCCTGGTATTAATTGCTTGACAACATTACGTTGCTTCAAAAACCAAGGGAGAGGAGATAATTTTACCTTTCTGGTGGATCTGTCATAAGGTCTGTCTGGTGGATCTGTCTTCTCCTCATGAAGGATTCAGAGACCAGGATCTGGGTTAATCAGTCCAGCTTTTCTCCCTCACCACACTCACCTCCTTCAGTGTTCCCAGGACATGGAACATCATAAGGCAACACAGCCACTGTGTCTCTGTCCCATGTCTGGTTAGATGCCCTCTGACACTGCCAAACAGGGAGAGTCTTTTCTGGATCATTATATCTCCTTCCACGGGAAGGGGCAGTCTCCAGAGTCACGTCTGCGTGGAGAACCTAACAAGCAAGGAAACATTAGCGTCGGATTCATTCTTAGACAACACAGGCAATGTCAAACTTCTAGTCTCCAGGGGAAAGTCAGGGCAAGAGATAAAGCATTTCATCCTACAAGAAATCTTTCTTGGCTGGGTGAATGCTACGGGGATTGTGAAGAAATAGCTTGCTCATTCTAGGAATACATTTTATGGATGAGATTTACAGGGCTGCCCAAGTGGTTTGGACACCAGGATCTCTTCCAGCTCTCTTAGACAACTTTGAAAGTGTCACCACAGTGAAAGTCGGGGGGAAGCACGGACAGCTTGAGTAGTTGCTTAGGGATCCGACCAGCTCAATGGAATTGGCTTAGTTTGGCATTATGGGGAGGGAGGCCCCAGAAATATTCCTGCTCGGGATACTTGGTGGTCAAGGACCAGCTCTACTACTTTTTCCAAACAAACTTCCTGTTGCCCTCTCTAGCAAGCACACACAAGTCCCCCTCCAATGACCCTGGGGGTCTGATACAGGAATGGGTAGGAGAGATTCTGTGGACTGTGGTACAGGGGGTCACACATGGGTAGAGGAGGGTCGCTGCTGAATCTTTGCCATTTAACAAACACACAGAAAACTGAATGTAAAGAAAATTTCAATCTTTGTTCATTGGATCTTTCCTGAGTTTGTCTTGTGTGGGAAGGGATGCTAAGAGAGGATGTCATACCCCAATTTATATAGTCTCAACTATGCTCCTGTAGCACCTTAGGGTACATCTACACTTGCAACCTGTTTTGAAATGGGGATGTAAATGTAGGTGACCTTAATTGCTGTTGAAGCTGGGATTTAAATATCCCGTGCTTCATTAGCATAATCTCGTCCAGGCACGATTTTGAAATCACGTTATGTCAAAATAAAACACCCTGTGTAGCAGCGTTATTTTGAGAGAAAGTCCTTTTCTCGAAATAACTGGTAAACCTCATTGTATGAGGAATAAAAGTTATTTTGAGAGAAGAGATTTTTCTCAAAATAATGCTACTACACAGGGCATTTTATTTCAAAATAATGCGATTTCAAAATGGTGCACAGGATATATATCCCGGGTTCATTAGCAATTTTGGTCACCTACATTTGCATCCCTATTTCGAAATAGGGTGCAAGTGTACACGTAACCTTAGGGTATGTCTACACTACAGCGCTATTTCTAATTAACTTAATTCAAAATAGTTAATTCGAATTAAGCTAATCTAGACACAAAAACTACTTCAAAATAGCATTTTGCAGTTTCAAAATAGCACGTCCATACTGAGTAGACCCTGAACCGAAGTTAAGACTGGCAGGAACCAGCGCCGGCAGGGCATCAGGTTAGGACTTAGGGTATGTCTACACTGCCACCCTAGTTCGAACTAGGGTGGCTAATGTAGGCATTCGAAGTTGCAAATGAAGCCCGGGATTTAAATATCCCGGGCTTTGTTTGCATCTTGCCGGGCGCCGCCATTTTTAAATCCCCGTTAGTGCGGACTCCATGCCCGCGGCTACCCGCGGAACGGAGTAGGTAGTTCGAATTAGAGAGCCTAATTCGAACTACCTACTCCGTGCCGTGTGTAGCCGCGGTCACGGAGTCCGCACTAATGGGGATTTAAAAATGGCGGCGCCCGGCAAGATGCAAACGAAGCCCGGGATATTTAAATCCCGGGCTTCATTTATAACTTCGAATGCCTACATTAGCCACCCTAGTTCGAACTAGGGTGGCAGTGTAGACATACCGTAAGTAATTTACTTTGAAATAAGCTCATTCCTTTTCATAATTAGGAGTAATTCTGAAATAATGGGTTTGGTAGTGTGGATGCTCATCCTGTTATTTGAAAAAAAGGGGGGGGGGGGGGGGAGAACCTCTGGGGAGACTGAGAAAAGGAGGTGGGAGAGGGGAAGAGAGAGGTGGAAGGGAGAGGGGGAAGGGAGAGGGGAGGGGAAAACCTGGGAAAGAGGAAGGGAAGAAAAAAAAATAGAGTGACAGTGAGTAGATGGTTCAAGTAGTTAAGAAGCTGATAAGAACAATTAGCACCTCCATTGTTTGGTTGGGTTGTTTTTTTTTGTTTGTTTAGTTTTTAGTTAGTCTGTAACTAGAAAAACTAAACTAACTCGGCTACCCCTCTCATTACTTGTTCTGTTCATTCTCTCTTTAGGGCACCCCGTAAATGTCAGAAGACAGAATACTGGCCTATATTGACCTTTGGTCTGACCTACTATATCAGCTCCTACATAAGAACCAACAAGTTGAATAGAAGGGTTCAACAGGAGAAAGATTTGCCCAGCTCATTTTATTAGGGTTTGATTGATACAGCCTCACTCAAACTTACATTTAAAGACATGCATACCAATACCCTTTCCTCACAATTAAAGATATTTGTCTCAGTACTTCTAAAAAGTTAAAACCCGATCATACATTATAGTAAGCAGAGAGAATCCTGATCCATACGGAAACGGGTCCTCTAAATTTCCACTGGGTGCTTAACCCATTTTGAGTGGGTAGAAAAAAAGGAAACCTCCGCGGCGACATGGTAAAGGACCACTATGTCAGGGGGCCCGGTGGCCACTGCTGGCTCTGGGCTGGCAGGCTTGGAGCTGGCACAGGCCCTGTGGCCAGAGTCTACTGCTTTAAGGGCTCTGGGGAGAGGGGAGGGAGAAGAGTGATCTTGGTTGAGGCCAGAGTGGGCACCACGGTGTTTACACAGCACTTAATTGAAAATAGCTATTTTGAATTTGGCATTACTCCTCGTAGAATAAGGTTTACCAAATTCGAAATAAGGCTCCACTATTTCGAATGTATTTCGAAATAGCGGGTTGCCTGTGTAGACACTATTAAAGTGAATTCGAAATAACCCTCAGAGACTAACCCAAAAATATATAGAGATAATATCATGAGCAAGACACACAGAGGTTGAATTATAAAGCAGAAAAAGGGGGGAAGAGACAGCGAGGGAATGAAAAAAAAAACCCTGTCAACTAAAGTGCCCGTGCTAAATGAGGCTAAAGGAGTGGGCTGTGAGTGCCCCCTACCCAGCTGTTGATGTGATTTGGGTGTTGACTATGACCACCCATCCCCTTCGTGTCTTTGTGGAGCCATGAGAGATAGTGTCAGAGTTGCATGGGAAGTCCAGTTCCACCGACTCTCTCTCTGGTTGGTTCTTGATATTACTTTGTAGGAGAAGAGCCACTTTGAGATCCACCAGTGAGCGCCCAGGCAAGATGAAATGTTCCCAACAGGTGTCTGGGTGTTGCCATTTCGAATGTCTGATTTGGGTCCATTGATCCTTTCTCAGAGAGACTCTCCAGTATGGCCAATATCCATGGCAGAGGGGCATGGCTGGCGCATATATGTGTAATATACCATGAAGTGCTATAGCTTTAACATAGACATGGAGTGGATGGGCCATTACATTCAATGTCCATGGCTGAGGGGCATGGGTGGCACTGGATGGCGCATACGTCTGATCTCTGCCATCGAGTGTCATGGACTGAACATAGACAAGAACTGGATGGGCCATTACATTCAACCCCCAAATGACACCAAAAACTGAGTATTGGGCACTTAGAGCCCACTCTATTAACTGCACTTAGCAAGGGCGCTTTAATTGTTGGCGGGGTTTCGGTTATAGGACCATTGTTGTGTGGATGCTTCACTGCTGCTATTTTGAAATAGCTCCTCCCCGGGGCCATTCTAAGGAATTCCTCCCCAGAACTTCCGGGGGCTGTAAGTCGGGGTAGCGCATCCACATTAGGGGAGCCTGCCACCAAATGATTTTGAGGCTTCCCTATAGTGGCTGCTCTATTTCAAAATAAGCTATTTTGGAGTATATCTTCCGGTATAGCTTATTCCAAAATAAGCGTGCCACGTAGACGCACCCTTTCTTATGGAAATCCTTCTTGCAGAACGACTTCTAGTGCCCACTCAGCGTACCAATATCGATGTAGCTAGAGAATCCTCAAGCTTCCAGGAGCAGAGATGTAACGATTGATTTGCCTCCACGGCGGAGTCTCTGAACGACCCATGCTCGTGGCATTTCTGAGCTCAAGATGGAGGTTATAAACTCCAACTTCTCTCCCCACCACCTTCACTTTCCTGCACGTTCCCCGCAAATAGAACGTTCTATCCCAGAACTGCTACTGATACCCTGCAGACTTGTTGGCCATGCACCATGAGCCTTGTGTCCTGTGTGAAATGAGAAACATGTTTTCTGATTTATTGTATATCCCTCGATAGGAAGGGGCATTCTCTCGGCAGTCCACTGCTACCCATGGTGGAAAACGCTATTGGGTCTAAAAAAAAAAAAAAAAAAAGTAACAGAAGTTCAGAGGTCTCCCATGTCTGTGGCTCTGTCAGAGCATGACATGGAACCAAATTAATCTAATGGCCCTGAGACTTCAGTTCACTTTGGTTTAGGCCCTATGCCAGCCCATGTTGTGTCTAGTGCAAAGGACCACTTGGCATTATGCAAACATGAATTTCTTCCAAACTTTCCTCAGGGCATCCTTCACCTCTTTGTTTCTCAGGCTGTAGATGAAGGGATTGACCAAAGGAGTCAGGACTGTGTAGGCAACAGAGAGAACTTTCTTGAAGTCCCTGAAAAAGTCAGTGGTTGGGAACATGTACACAATGAGCAGTGTTCCGTAGTAAATGGTCACCACAATGAGGTGGGAGGAGCAGGTGGAAAAGGCCTTTTGCCGCCCCCTGCTTGAAGGGATCCTCAGGATGGTGGCGATGATGCAGATGTAGGACGTCAAGGTGAGCAGGAAGGGGGCCACCAAGCACAGCATGGAAGCCACCGTTTCCATCAGCTGAGGGTCATCGCAGGAGAGACGTATCAGAGGGACAAAATCGCAGAGGAAATGGTCAATAGCGTTGGGGCCACAGAAAGTTAACTGGGATACCGACAACGTTGTTATGCCATTACCTAGGAATCCCCCTAGCCATGAGCCACCTGCCAGCCGCAGCCAGGCCCTGCCCCTCATGAGGGCCGTGTAATGCAGTGGGTGGCATATTGCCAGATACCGGTCATAAGACATCACCGATAAGAGAAAGCATTCTGTGCCGACCAGAAAACCGAAGAAATACAACTGTGTGAGGCACCCACTGAAGGAAATGGTCCGGTCCCCTGTCAGGAGTCCGGCCAGCATCTTGGGCAGAATGGTGGAGCTGTAGCAGGTCTCCAGGCAGGACAAGTTGCCCAGGAATAAGTACATGGGGGTGTGTAGGCGCCGATCAGCCACCACCAGTGAAATGATGAGGAGGTTCCCAGCCATGGTCACAATGTAGATCACTAGGAAGAGCAGGAAGAGAAAAAATTGCAGTTCCGGAAGAGTCTGGAATCCCAGGAGGATGAACTCTGTGATGGACGTTGTGTTTCCATGTTCTGGGTTCCCCATGGAGTTTGTCTATGGGAAAATCATGACTTCTCAAATATAAATGAACATTCACCCAAGAAACATAACATTGTTTTCATTGTTTCTCTCCTCTGGTTACCGGCACAACAGCTCAGTGGGTTGTGGAGCATAGGGCAGGGGAAACACTCTCTCTGGATCCCTTGGACAGAGTCCATAATTGAACGGACTGGAGGTTAAATCAACACACCCATCTCTCTGCAAACCTGCATGGCATCTCGACAGATGGCACCTACAGTAACAGGGACCCAGCTACGACAATAAAGAGACACAGACAGAGGAAGCTGCATAACAAATTTGGTGGTACTAACTCTTTCCACTTCGATGTAAATGTTATACAACTATTTAGCTTGCTAAAGAAAATTTTGCAGATTTGAATATGTCCCCATGCAATAGTTCGATCTTGATCATCAGAATTGTTCATCTCTGCATTTTACTCTTAACTCTCTTTAAATGGTGGACACCCGTCTAATTTATTCGGAAATTGAAGGGTATAGTGTTGAAAGTGCAGTCCTTGCAAGTAGCGAGAAAACATTTTAAAAACACCATAAGTGAGACTCAAATGTAAGAGGAACTCCTGCTGCATTACTCTATTAGGGTATGTCTACACTACAGTTCTATTTCGAATTAACTTTGTAGTGTAGAGATACCCTTAGGGTACGTCTAGACTACATGGTTCTGTCGACGGAGCCATGTAGATTTGTTTGTTCGGCAAAGGGAAATGAAGCTGTGATTTAAATAATCATGGCTTTATTTAAATTTAAATGGCTGCCCTGCTCTGCCGATCAACTGTTTGTCGGCAGATCGGGGCAGTCTGGATGCTCCCCTGTCGACATGAAAACCGTTTATCGACCTCCCCATAAGAACATAAGAATGGCCGTACTGGGTCAGACCAAAGGCCAGCACCAGGTGCCCCAGAGAGGGTGGACCGAAGACACAATCATCCTACAAGGCATAAGGGGGAGGTCAATAAAGGGCTTTCAGGTCGGTGCGGAGTGTCCAGACTAGCGCGCTGAGCCGACAAACAGCTGATCAGCTGTTTGTCAGCTCAGCGCGGCAGCCATTTAAATTTAAATGAAGCCGCGATTATTTAAATCGTGGCTTCATTTCTCTCTGCCAATCAGCCTAATCTACATGGCTCCATCGATGGAGCCATGTTGTTTAGACACACCCATAGAGTTCTTTGAGAGGGTCAACAAACATGTGGACAAGGGAATCTAGTGGATATAGTACATTTAGATTTCCAGAAAGCTTTTGAGAAGGTCCCTCACCAAAGAGTCTTAAGTACAGTAAGTTGTCATAGAATAAGAGAGAAGGTCCTTTTGTAGACTGAAAATGGTTAAAAGACAGGAAACAAAGGGTAGGAATAAATGGTCAGTTTTCAGAATACAGAGAGGTAACTAGTGGGGTGTCTTAGGAGTCTGTACAGGGACCAAACCTACTTAACTTATTCACAACTGATCTGGAGAAAGGGTTAACAGTGAGGTGGCAAAATTTGCAGGTGATACCAAATTGCTCAAGATTGTTAAGTACCAGGCAGACCATAACGAGCAACAAAAAGATCTAAAAAAACTGGGTGAGTGGGCAATAAAATATCAGATGATGTTTAATGTAGTTAAATGCGAAGCAATGCACATTGGAAAAAATAATCCCAACTATACATACAATATGATGGGGGTAAATTTAGCTACAACTACTCAAGAGAGAGATCTTGGAGTCATTGGGAAGAGTTGTCTAAAAACAGCCCCTCCATGTGCCGCTGCTGTCAAAAAAGCAAACCGAATGTTGGGAATCATTAACAAAGGGATAAATAATAATACAGAAAATATCATATTGCCTCTGTATATATCCACGTTAAACTCACATCTTTATTGCTGTGTACAGACAGGGTTACCACATCTCCAAAAAAGATATTTTGAGATTAGAAAAGTTTCAGAAAAATATCAAAAAAAAAATTTCATGATATGGAATAGTTTGTGTCAGGACAGATGAATAACACTGAGGCTTTTCAGCTTGCACAATAGGAGACTAAGGAAGGATATGATTGAGGTGTATAAAATCATGACAGATGTGGAAAAAGTAGATGAGGAAAAGTTATTTACTTGTTCCCGTAACATAAGAACTAGAGGTCACCAAATGAAATGAATAGGCAGCAGGTTTAAAAGAAACCAAAGGAAGTTTTTCTTCACACAACACAGAGTCCGTCTGTGGAACTCCTTGCTGGAGGATATTTTGAAGACCTGAACTTTAACAGAGTTCAAGAAAGAGCTAGATAAATTCATGGAGGTTAGGTCCATTAGCCAGGATGAGTAGAAATCATGTCGGTCAGAACCTAGGGTACCTGGAATTGCCTAATGTAGGCAGACAGGACTTTGGGCTGGTTGGACCTTTGGTCTGACCCAGTCTGGCCATTCTTATGTTCTTAGGTTCTTTTTCCTTTCTAATTGGTTAAAATATGAATTCTGCCTCTCTCTCTGTTTTACTCAACATATCTGCCAGTCATGTCTCCCTCACTATGACTAGTATTTAGAGAGAGAAGATGGTTGAGGTAATAACTATTGCTGCACAATTTTCTAATCACAGAATCACAGAACACTAGAACTGAAAGGGACCTCAAGAGTCATTGAGTCCCATCTCCTGCCCTCATGGCAGGACTAAGCACTGTCTAGATCATCCCTGACAGGTGTCTGTCCAACCTGCTCTTAAATATCTCCAGAGATGACGATTCCACAACCTCCGTGAACAATTTATTGCAGTGTTTAGCCACCCTGACTATTAGGAAGTTTTTTCTCATCTCCAGCCTAAACCTCCCTGTCTGTAGTTTAAGCCCATTGCTCCTTGTCTTATTCTCAGAGGCCAAGAAAAACAATTTTTCTTCCTCCTACTTGTAACATCCTTTTAGATACCTGAAAGCTGCTCTCATGTCCCTTCTCAGTCTTCTCTTTTCCAAACAAAACAAGCCCAATTCTTTCAGTCCTCCCTCATAGCTCATGTTCTCTAGACCTTTAATAATTTCTGTTGCTCTTCTTTGGATCTTCTCCAATTTCTCCACATCTTTCTTGAAATGTTTTGCCCAGAACTTGACACAACACTCCAACAGTTTGCAAGTATTTCAAAGGGCATCACAAGGAGGAGGCTGAACACTGGCATAAATTGCCCAGGGAAGTTGTGGAATCTCCATCACTGGAGATGTTTAAGAGCAGGTTGGACAGACACCTGTCAGGGATGATCTAGACAGTGCTTAGTCCTGCCATGAGGGCAGGGGACTGGACTCGATGACCTCGCGAGGTCCCTTCCCATTCTAGCGTTTTATGATTCTATGACACCTGCTAAGGGCAGTCTGGGCTGACATGGATATCCGACCTCAACAGGTGTGACTCTGTGGTTAGGTGCCAAAAATACCTCTTGAAATCTGTCCCTCTGTGTCATCCCCCCATCTGCAAAGCAGGGAAAACAACACCTCCCAGTAAGTGGGACGATACTGACTTTTGGGGCTGTGAAGTCGTCAGATCCCACAGTGATGGAGTGGCAGATTCGGAGCTAGGCTAGAAGTGACCAGAGAGGTCTTTTCCTTTCCCCCCATTCTAGCAGTTTGCATTGGGCTGGGAGTCTGAGAGAAATCCCTGCCATATTCTCCCTGGATTCCCGTCTTATTAATTTCTTGACAAACTTAAGTTGCTTCAAAAGCCATGAGCTGCCCGGAACAAGGGAAGGGAAAGTCGATTTACCTCTATGATGGTCTGTCACAGGCTGTCTTCTCCTTACTCAGGTTTTCAGAGAGCCGGAACCGGGTTGATCAGTCTGAGTTCTCACCCTACCGCATTCACCTACCATGATAGGTTCCCAGCACACAGAGTGTCCTAAGGAAGAACAACCACCGCGTCTCCTTCCTCATGTCTGGTTAGATGCCCTCAGACACAGCCAAGTGGGGAAAAGTCTTTTCTCGATTGTTATATAACCTTCCAAGGGAAGGGGCAGTCCTTGAGTCACGCTTGCGTGGAGAACCTAACGAGCAAGGAAAGGCTAGTGTCTGATTCATTCTTAGACAACACCGGTAGTGTCAAACTTCTAGTCTCCAAGGGAAAGTCCGGGCAGAAGAGGCCTTGGGGAGAAAAAGCATTTCACCCTTCAGCAAATCTCTCTTGTCTGGGTGAATGCTACTGGGATTGTGCAGAAATAACTCACTCCTCCTAGGAATACATGTTATGGCTGAGATTACCAGGGCTGCCCAAGTGATTTAGACACCAGGATCTCTTCCAACTCCCTTAGCCAATTTTGAAAGCGTCACAGTAAAAGTTGGGGTTAAGCACGTACAGAGTAAGCAGTTACTTAGGGTTCTGAACCCAATGAAATTAGGTTTTTTAGCTTTATAGGGAGGGACTCCCCAAAAATATTCCTGCTTAAGATTCTTGGGGGGCTCGGGCCACCTCTGCTACTTTATTTAAAACAAGCTTCTTGTTGCCCTCTCTAGTAAGCACACACGAGTCCTCCTCCAATGACCCTGGCAAAGCAGCTCAGGTAACGTTTTAGTGATTTAGGTGTCTCAATTTCATTTTCAAAAGTGTCCTCGTCACAAAGACTTGGCAGCCTGTGTCAAATGACGCCATTTTGTTGTGTAAGGGCAGGGCTGTGGCAGGACCAGAATTTTCCAGCAGGTACCAACACTGGGGCATCCTGTGGAGGCGGCCGGCTGTTTGCAGGGAGTTGCGAAGGGTATTGTCCAGTGCATGGCAGGGGGCTGCCCAGCAGGGTATGAAGCCAGGGCTGCCCAGTGGGATCAGCTGGGCAGGGAGCTGGCAGCAGGGCAGGTAGCTGGCTGGGATGCTGGCCGGTCAGGCCACGACTGGAGGGGCTGGTGGCAGGGGGCCCAGCAAAATCCCTCCTCCAGTACTTGTCAGGTCCAGAGGGTGCCAGACCAGGGAGGTCCAAGGCTTATTAGCATGTTTGTTACCCAACTCAAGAACACAGACCCCTCTCTGTGGAGG